AGAGAGAGAGAGAGAGAGAGAGAGAGAGAGAGAGAGAGAGAGAGAGAGAAAGAGAACACAGAGAGAGAATGAAGCAGAAAAAGGCTACATCGAGCCCTTATTTTTACTTTCAATTTTTTATAGCTTTTTAGACAAAAGTCTTCCATATAAGAAAAGAATCATTCCATAGATAAAACTGTTACACAGAAGGGAGTACAGAAGAATGTAGATTATAAGTTCAAAGCAGTGTTTCATTCTATAAGCTCATTATAAGTTTAAAGCAATGGTTTTATGTGGCCTTGCTTTATCATAGTGCACACTGGTAGCCTCATCCTTGGAGCTGACCTAGAATGAATGTTTTTCTTGATCATGAATGTGTTCCGAGCCATTTTTTTTTCCTAGCTTTATAGAGCTCTAGTTGCAGCTTTCAGTCTATAGGGGGCTCGAGATTACTTGTATCTGTTTAGGAGTTCTATAAAATCATTGTCAGGAATTATGAAATCATCAGTAAGTCTAAAACAGCATTACCATATCAAAGTACATCTCCGCCGGGCGGTGGTGGCGCACGCCTTTAATCCCAGCACTTGGGAGGCAGAGGCAGGCGAATTTCTGAGTTCGAGGCAAGCCTGGTCTACAGAGTGAGTTCCAGGACAGCCAGGGCTACACAGAGAAACCCTGTCTCAAAAAAACCAAAAAAAAAAAAAAAAAAAGGACATCTCCGTATTGACTCTGCAGGAAATCTGTCCAATGGGGTGGGTAAATAGCTCAGAAATCATTAAATGATGTCATAGAGGCAGGAAAGGCAGTAGTGAGAAGCAATCCTTGGAAGAAGTCTCTGGGGTTTTTGCCTCTCAGAGCCCAGCCCTCACAGCCATGCAAAACAGTGGGCCATCTTCAGAAAACTTGCTTGCCATAGCCTGTCCTAGATGACTTGTGTAAAGAGGGATAGGCTACAGAGGTAGGAGGGGTTTCATCGTTGTGTCACTATCCCAACCAGGAAGTCATCCGCTCACTGCATGTTGTTTTTGTGCTTGGGCCACGGCATGATTTTATCCAGTGTCCTAGAGGTGCCTGATGATACAGCAAGGAGCCCACAGCAAAGACAGGCTTGGTGATGTTATTAAGCCCCAAATCTGAGATAAGACCAGAACTCGAGCCTCATGCCACCCTGGGCAGTGCTCAGTTCATTTTCCCACACCATCCCCATGGCACTACCCAGGGACCACTCCCTGTCGTGGTTCCAGACAGGGAGGCATCGTCTCCTGACTTGGAACGGAGGGTAGCCATGGCCAGTGCAGCTCTCACAGGATTGTTTCCTCTTGCAGGCATCGACTACCGAGTGAAGACGGTCACTGTGGACAATGCGCAGGTGGCTCTCCAGCTGTGGGACACTGCTGGCCAGGAGAGGTGAGGAGCTGCATCCGCAGGTCCCAGACTAGGCCGGGGCTCCCAAGGAAGGCACACCTCTGACAGTGGCTCTCCCGTGGCAGATATCGCTGTATCAGTCAACAGTTCTTCAGAAAGGCCGACGGTGTGGTTGTTATGTATGACCTCACAGCCAAGCAGTCCTTCCTGTCGATCCGCCAGTGGCTGAGCAGCGTGGAGGTGAGTGAGCAGCCACCTTCCTGGAAGCTCTTGAGCTTACCAGACTCTCGCCTGCCCCCTGACTCTCCCTTCTGACCCTCTGCATACTCAGAGCCTGCCCATCCAGGGTTCTTCCTCCCCTTTGACCCTGACATCTGACGTCTTCCGCCCGAATCTGCCCCTCTTCAGCATCTCTCAGCTGGACCACGCCCTTTCTCAGCTGCCAGTCTGCATGTCTTCCATTACCAAGGAAATGAAGGAATGGGATGTAAATGGACTTAAGAGTTTCTGGGACAGTTGCTTCATACAGATCATTTCTCAACATTCCTGACCCTAAAAACACTTATGAATGTGAAGAACTAGATTTTGAAATGCCATGCATTAGGTTGTGTCTTCACAGAACTAATCGAGGAGGCAAATGAACTTAGACTTTGAAATTTGTGACATGATTCTTCTCCTCCTATCATCCTCATCATCATCATCCCCTTCCTCCTCCCTTCTCCTCTGCCCTCCTCCCCCTTCTTACGTCCTCCTCCCCCTCCTCCCCATCTACTTTATATGATGTTGGCAGGACCAAAGAAACACTACTGATGATCTAATCCAGTGGAGTTTTTAGACATCTGTCCTTGGAGACCTAGAATCACTCTGACATTTCCTAGAAAGTGGGGCAGGGCAGGGAAAGGTTCAGTGCTCACAATTCAGGGCCCTACACTCTCCTTTCTCCGTCCTAGCTGTCCAGCATTTTTCCAGCTTTGTACATGGGAGGTCTGCATACCATGTTGTTAGACAGCAGGGATTCCCTTGAAAATATTCAGTCTGATATAATCTAGCGTAATCCATCCCATCTCAGGATGAAGAAGCTGAGCTGCCATCTTCCCCAAGACCGTTCTTTCTTCCCCTAGCCTCAGACTTCTGCACACACATACCCAAATTGGGATGTGAGCTGGGAAGTCCTAATGTCTGGTACTGATGACAGTGAGGGAGACAAACACAGGACTGTGCTCTCTACTGTCACTGGAGGTCAATAGTCCCTAGGACTCCCAGAGAAACTGACTAGCAGTAAGAAATTTTAGAAGGTATCATTGCAGACTTAACATATGTTTGGGCCTTCTTCACACAGCCATGTATTGCAGACTTAGCATATGTTTAGGCCTTCTTCCACAGCCATGTGCTGAGCACTTGTGCGCCTCCCCCTGGTGGAAGGGATTGTCAGCAAGCACCTCACAGGACCCTTGACTCACCCATGGGCTTAAACACCAGGCTGAGGTGGTACAATTGTTCATCACTAACTTGGGATCTTCTAAGTGTCGGTAATTTGTAGTTTGAGGCTTGTCTTTTAAAACAAGTTTGACAGGAGGTGCTGACGAGCTCTAAAGGAACCCTGTGTGACCCAGCCTGAGCACTGGGCTCACCTGAACAACACTGATGGCAAGACCCTCCATATAGACAGACCACTCCAGGGCCTGGAAATGCAAAAATAATGGGGGTCTCCGGAGGTCTCATTAACAGGCAGACCCACTCATGGATGCAGGCATAAAGAATGAGATTTCAGATTTCTCCCAACTTCACAGGGAGGCCAGTGCTGCTGTTACACCCTCTGAATAGCCAGGCTCTGAGTCATCTGAAGAGCATCCCAGACCCCTCACCAAGACACTGCTGAACATGTGACCAAGTGGCTGCCCTAGGAAAGGCATCCAGTTCCATGGCTCAGGGTTCAGGGGCAAGTGTAGGAGTCTGTGCCAAATACTTGACTGTGCATTGAAGGTGTGGAAAAGAAGCATCAACAGATGTAATTATTCCCCCCTCCCATTCTTGAAAAGCTAAGTCACTCTGCCTTGGCAACCAGCAATCAGAGGTGTCAGGTGACAGATTAAAACTTGACACCTAATTTGATCTGAGGGGAACTGAAAATAATAAGTACTTTATATTTGTGGAGAACCTTATGGTTTTTTTTTTTTTTCCAAAGAGCTCAGAGCACTTTGCCAACTCCCTTGCCTGGAGAAGAAGGGCGGGAGGAGCTTTAATAACAGTCTTCAGGGTTTGAAGTCTTGTTATTAACTGAATGGTGGCCAGCTGTTCCCAGTGACCCCGCCCTCCTCCAGTCCACCTGAAGCCTGGAGAACAAGGCCTTAAATTGTTGTGTTTGCCATGAATGGAAAGCTCTGGAAGAGGGTATGGGGGAGGGAACAGGTGCTCTGGATAAGAGTTACAGCTCCCTGGAAAAAACATCCTTCCCCTTTCAGCTCAGCCACTTCCTGGCCCTGACACTTGGGCCAACAATTCACTGAAGGACAGGACCCTGTACTACTGGCTCCATGCAAAATCTACAGTGCATAGCATTGAACTTCTGAAGGACCCATGACAGAACAGCAGTGTGCGAATGAGAGTATTTAAGGACCCGTCCAGCTTGAAGGCAATCAGAGACCTGTCACATAAGAGAGCAGCTGGAGAATTGCTCTCTGGCTCTTACATTATGGCAAAAGTATCTAAAGATGTAGGTGAAGTTCACTTATTCCACAGTTCCTGAGGACCCAAGGAGCGATGCCTGGGCTGACTGCACTCTGCCAGGACCCTCTTAGTTGGATTGCACCATGGTGGATTCATCACAGTGGGAGGTGAAACCAAATCAGAGCCAAGGCAGTGGTGGTGCATGCCTTTAATCACAGCACTTGGGAGGCAGAGGTGGGTGGATCTCTGTGAGTTCAAGGCCAGCCTGATCTATAGAGTGAGTTCAGACAAGGCTACACAGAGAAACCCCATCTCAAAAAGACTAATAATAATAACAATAATATCAACAACAATTAGCCAGGAACTCTAAAGAACTATTTCATTCCCTTTTAAGTGACCTGAAACCTCCTGCTAGGCCCCATTTTTTCCTGCCTTCATCCTACCAAGAACAGAGAGAGTCCTTGAGGGGGGAGGTCAGTGTCAAACAAAGAACAACAATGCCTGTGTGACAAGGCAGCTCTGCCCTCACCCCTCCTGTCCTCACCATCCTAGCTCTCCCTGCACCAAGGCAGCTCCACGATGCCTGTAGGCCTTGTTATATGCTTGAGCGTGGCCCAGCCATAGTTCATGACAAGTGGACTGTGTGTCTCTGGAAGTCAAAGCCATCCATCCTTCCTGCCAGCTCTGCATCCACAGCCCACTTGCTGTCTCATCACCACTGGGAGAATGGACCTAACTGTTCTAATTTGGAGAAGAAACCAGTTAGGCATGACACATGCCTCGTTAAGGCCATGACAAACTAGACATCTGAAGATCCCTGAGAATCTGCATCAGGCAGAGGACACAGACCTGGATACAGAAATGTGGGCTGTCGTGTCTCCCATGTCTAGGCTGTAAATCTCCAATGCCCTGCTTATTGAACTTCAAATTTACTTTTTGATTTGTAATCATTCAGTTAGCACTATATAGTAAGGCCTGTACATTAAGGAAGTAAAAAAGAAAATGGATGGAAAGATGAATCCATATAGATTAACATCTCTGAGCCTGACAGACAACACACATACACACACAGACAATGCAGGCACATACAACACAACACACACATACATACACACACACACACACACACACACACACACACACACACAAGTGAGCATGCACCTCACTTTGGAGAGCAAAGAGAGGAAGTGACTTGTCCAAAGGCACACACAGCGTGTGAGGCACAGCTAGAACCCAGGGCCCAGGGCTCTGCCACCGCATTCCACTTCTCTCCTCAAGTGGCCCTTGCTACATCCGCTGATGCATAGGTGCATTTGCCTCTTTTCCAGACCTACTTGCTCCAGCCTCAAAACAGAACAATTCTTCAACCAAGGAGGTTCTGGCCCACCTCTCTCTCCATTCCTGGTTGCAAGCAAAATCTCAGCCTGTGACCTTTGTCCTTGGTGACAGTGTACAGCAGGGAGCAAAAAATAGCAGTTTGATTCTCCCCACCCCCCATATTCCAAGCCGAACTTGAAGTGCTGGCAGTTTAAAACGAACTATACAAATAAATCTTGTTTTGACTCATAGTCCGGGGGGTGGATAAATATGGAAACCCTCAAGATATAATTTTGCAGTCATTTTTTTCTTAGCATAACGGCATGCTTTAATGTGCTGAGAGAAAAAAAAATTCTGGCTCCAGAGAAATAGCATTCTCCAGCTAAGTGCTTCTTGATGCCTCCAGCAAACAGATATTCACACATACACAATCACGAATGTGAGTGCAGGCGCACACGAACACACACACACACACAGACACACACACACACACACACACATACACACACACACCAGCTCAACCCAGCAGCTGCACACCCTGGGCTGAGTGACAGTCTTCTATTGAGTTGACAGCTCTTATTCTGTAAAGTTAGAGATGATGATCTTAAATTTCAACAAATCTATCTTCCACTGCACTCAAATACAGAGAAAGGTGACCATGGCAATCCAAAGTATAGAGAGATTTCTCTGCTAGAACTTTCTAGAGCAGAGACGTTTCAGAAAGTCTATTTTAAAAACCAGAGACTAGAAACTCAGAGAATGGGAGCTACTAGAGGAATTATCCTGAGGGAAGGTAGGTAGCAGGGCCCAGTCTCCTAAGGACAGATTGTGTGCCCAGCCAATGAACTAAGGCCTGTTAAACTGGCCTGTGCTACATATTCTGGGATTCTTGGGCATTATCAACAGCAGAGGATAAGGTGGACCTGCTCACCCAAGTCTCCCAGGCTTAGCAGAGGTACACATTTAACTTCCAAAAGGTGTCCTGCTGGAGGTGTAACACAGTGGCAAAGTGCTAGCCTTGCACAGGAAAGACCCTTCGTTCCATTTCCAGCACCAAAATGATGACAAATTTAAAAGGAAAGTGTTGTCATATCTAATAGGTAAAATTATCTGTCTCTTTGTACCAAGTAGTACAAGACGGGCAGAAAACCTAGTTAGAAATAAAGAAGGGATAAACCTCAGGCAGGTAGTTCAGGAGTCAGGGAGGATCCCAAGACAGACATTGAAAGACAAGCCTCTCATGACTCTGTGGGTGACGGAGTGATGAGGACTTGTAACAGTTAGCACACTCTCTGGCCTTGTGTAGTAAGTAGTCTCATTTAACTCGGAGCTGGGCCTTGTTCTCCATTTTCAGGGCAGCCCACAGAGGGGAAGCCAGCTATCCAGGGTGTTTGTGTTAACAGACGGGCAAGCAAAAGATAGAAGTGGGATGCAGCTGGGTGCTTGACTATTCTTCTGCTCTCTTTCCAAGCTCTCCCTTCTCTCTCTAGGAATGGCTCTCAAGGAAGTTTGCCCTTCTCCCCCAGAGCAGTGTGCCATTTGATCTGCAGAGGGTACATATCAGGCTTGAGACGTGGGCCCCACCCCATCCTACCCAGACATTCAGTGTGGATGGAACTTCCCCTTTGCGAGGAAGATTGTTGCAGCTGTGACCCATTCCACTGACTAATAAAACCTGAGTTGGAGTTCTGTCCCAAGATTCCAAGCTCGGATGCTCATCTTTTTAGAGTTTCCATGTTAAGAAAATCCCACAGACCTTAGTCATTCCTTGCACATAAGTCTACAAATATATCTTTCTCGCATGCTCTAAACAGCAAGTCTTCTGGCCCAGTTCCCTGCATCCTTCTCTCTGCTTCCTTTTATGTGAAAAGCTCTTTGCATAAGTATTCTGTTGTCTGTGCAGTCACAGGATGGGTTGGGGCACTCCCATTAACTAACACTCAGCTAGTAGGGATGCCAGCAGTCTGTATTTGCTGTTAACTGGGTTTCTCACTTTGGAATAAGTGAGCGATGGTACAATTTACTTATCAACCACCCATGTGACTTAATTTATTCTGGTGGGTCAGAAGACAGGCGACATCACTGTGAACATAAATTACTCTCTTCCCAGCGGGTGCCATTTTTAGAGTGCTCTATTTAGTAACATTCTGAGGAGCAGAGTGTTCCTAGAAATGTGAATCTGGACAAAAAGGTCAGAGAGTGATGGGACCTGTGTGCTAAGTGGCCTTCATCCCTCTCGCTTTGTGGCCAGATGTTCCACTGTGGCTCCTCTGAGCCTGGTGTCCCCATTTAGCAAATGAGAATTACTTTCTCCTACAGAGCTGCAGTAAAAACGAATGTGTGGATTAAGGAAATATAGAGGATTTAATTTCAGAGGTAACTGCATTTAAAACTTCAAAACAGGTGTTCTGATCAGAAGGACTTTGGCCATTTGCCTGAGAGCTGAGGCAAAGCAGTGAGATGTTTTGGTGAAGCCATAACTTAGGTTTATAAGTGTCTACTATTCTACAGCCCCTCTGTTTAGCAAAACGTTCAGCTCCAATGAATAACTATTCGTTACCAAATTATGATTAAAAGCCCTTAATTAAGTAGTTCACAAAGTAAAAATAACAACCTTTTAAAACTTGAATGCTACCATACTTACTGGATGGCTGTAAGTCCCAGAACCATTGTTCTGGGATTGAGTTCGTACATGAAGCACACTCCCCTTTTTGCAGATGAGGCAGAGCCCCCAGGGTATGGCTGATATCCTACAGCCCCCATAAGAGATAACACAGTTGTCACTTTGCATGAAGTCATCACTTCTGGCCAGAGAAGTAGGGCTGCCACAGCGCATGGCTCTTCCTTAAGCTGGGCCTTCTTGGGAGTCCAAGTGACGTGAGACCCATAGCACCTGCCTCCAATTAGGCTCACAGAAGCCACTTACGGAGCTCTTTGGCCCAGTCCTATGGCTCAGATTCAGATGCACCCCCAGGGAGCTCACATGTCACAGAAGCTCAAGATACCACTTCTCATCCAAGTAGCCAGAGATCAGCTCCAGGATCTGCTGACTAATATCTGAGGTTTGTTCTGGTTTGTTAGACTGGCTCTGGTCATTTAGCAAGGCTCTCAGTGGTATTGAAAGTCATGGGAGGAATGCACGACCCCTTGGGGTCCACAGCCCTATTGGCATCCTTGCTGTCCAGAGCCCTGCCAGCTCCTCCTCAGCACAGGTGGGAAAACAATGTGCTTTCTACAAGAGCCAAAGGGGGATGGGGGCAGGGAGAAACTGAGACAGACTTTCAGTGACTGGGATCTTACTCTCCATTGCTAGGCTCACCCTCACGTGAGTCTGGATCTTTCCCCATGAGCCTACTATCTGGCTTCATCCTGGGAGGCTTCTCTTAGTGGAGGGATGACCTATCTGTTCTGCAGGAAGCTGTGGGAGACCGAATTCCTGTTCTGCTGCTGGGCAATAAACTTGACAATGAGAAGGAGCGGGAAGTGCCCCGGGGCCTGGGAGAGCAACTCGCCAAGGTAAAAAGCCCGAATTCCCCTCTCTCTAGACAGGGTAGGGACCTCCAGCATTCAGGAGTAAGCCCAAGAGCCTTGTGGGGAACTTGTGGAAGCCCTGTGGACGGGAGGCAGTTGAGCAGATACGCCTTGGCATCTTGGGTCTGGGGCATGTACAACTGCACGGAAGTGAGATGTGAGACGGCCACTTGGGAAGCATTGGGCAGAACTGTCCTAAAGCCTCTTGTGTGGAGCGTGGGGTCCCAAGTCCTGAGAAAGCAGGAGAGTTCTCCTCATCTTGCTCGGGTACTGGGATCCCACTGTCTGTATCTCTGCTTGATCACCATTGAGGATGAAAACCTCACCATAACCAGGCAGCAGTGTGGACCACTCTGCCGCAGAATGTTTTTCATAGAAGATGGAGCCTCAAACTGAGCACTGAAGAAAAACTCAAGAGAAGCTCTGGAAAGTCTGAAAAGCATCACCCTTTGGGCCCATGAACAGGACCAGCAGGGCTCAGCAGAACCTGGGGGTGGGGCAGATGAGAGGGCAGATGAGGCAGCAGGACCAGACCAGGGGCGGTGCAGACCAGGGGGTGGGGCAGACCAGGGGGTGGGGCAGATCAGGGCTCCTCTTTGGCTCCCTTCTCGCCTCTGGTTTAGTGGATCTGTGTGCCTGGGACTAGGGAGCCCAGCAGCCCTGTGATTTATGATTCCCGAACTTCGTAGTTAACACAGGACTTAACCTCAGAGCTGGAGGAGAGCACAGATGGTCAGAACCAAAGGAGAAGGGTGATGAAGGCCTGAGCAGGGTCACCAGACAGACATGTACACAATTCTGAAACCCAAATGCTTTGAAGATAGGAGAGTTGTTTGCTTGTTTTGTTTTGTTTTGTTTTGCTTTTTTATTCCGTCTAGCAGAAAATCTGACTGGAACTGACATGAGGCTATTTATGGACTTTATTTCACTTCTAGTGAATATTCAAATGTCCCACTTGAGAAATATTAATATATTTGATTATAGGGTGCTGTCGCAGACCTACCGAGGGTATTATGCAATATTTAGTATCTATGTATATTGCTTTCCTAAAATTAAAAACTTTAGATTTCCAAATGCATCTAGATAAAAATATTTCAATTGAAGAATATAGACCTGGATCATCATCATCATCACTACCACCATCATCATCACCATCATCACCGTCATTATCCAGTTTTTCTCTTATGTTTTCTCTCTTTCGTTCTTGATTCTATTGTTGAGGTGCAACAAGGTCTCATCTACTTCAGGCTGACCTCAAATTCTGATCTTTCTGCTTCTACTTTCAAGCCCTGGGCTTACAGACGTGTGCCACCATTCCCTATTCACACAGTGCTGGGGCTCATACTCGGGCTTCATATGTACTTGGCAAGGGATCCACCAAATGAGCTAGACCCCCAATCCATTTTTTTCTTTTCAATTGGTAAAAAACAAATGTGGAGATGGGTGCTGAATTCCGAGTCTGTTAGTGCTAGGGTGAACATTTGAAGCTGGGAGGCAAGTCATGTCTTCCGGGTCTGGGTCCTAGGTGTTCTTTCACAACTCCATCCTTGAAGTGGTTCCTCTTACAGCCTCCTCCAGAGTCAGTGTTGGACAGAAAGAAGACAGTAAGGTGTAAAGCATGTGGGGTCAGGGGTATAGGCCAGAGCTGGGCCTCTGGGTGTGGATGAAGAGAGCAGAGTTGGAAGCCGCTGTTTTCAAAGCCTCCTGAGCTGGAGTCTTCAGCGTGCACACTTAGCCAGCCCCGGTCACCATAGACACCAACCTCCAAAGAGCGTCCAAACCAAACCAGAGCTCGATTCCATTAGCACTGTTACCGTGAGTAAGCAACTTATTGATGGAGGTGATCAATGGGCCTGGAGTCTTTGGCCAGAAGCCCCCATGTCCCAGCACCACCTCTGCCTGATGAGTGATGAGTTCCCCCATAGCCCTGTGCTCAGAGCTAGGCAGCCAAAGTACAATCTTACTAGAGCCCCAAGACATCTACCCAAGATCCACAGAAGAGCAATGTCCTGTAACAGCGGCTTTAGGGGAGCTCTGCTGTTGGCTAAGTGCCAGACCCGAGAGGACCTGCCACGCTGTCTCTCTTGACTAAGTTTCCCTGCCTGGAAAGTGGGAATAGTGTTGCTTGGCCTGGCCTTCCTACCTGCTTCAAAGGCAGATGTGAACCTGAAACAGTCAAGTACATTCTCAACGGAGCTTCAAGCGAGGGTAAAGCACAAGACGGCACTAGGGGGCTGTAGCAGCGTGTAGCTTGCCGATAGCTACATAGAGAGCTAGCATCCATTAAGGTCCCAAGGAGGAAGAAACCAGCATGGTCAGGAGAGGGGTGAGGGCTATAGATAGCAGCCGATGGCTCTCTCCTCAGCTTCCTCTGGTTCCCCAGCTCTTCTGGTTTCCCCCACATATCCTCTCTGCTCTGATTCCAGGAGAACAGTTTGATCTTCTATGAATGCAGCGCCTGTTCCGGTCACAACACCAACGAGTCCCTGCTCCACCTGGCCAGGTAGGAAAGTCATTCGATGAGTGAAACATGCTGAGCCAAAGGGCGGTCAGCCAGTGATGCCCACCCACCATCCCCAGCTCCTGTTCGCGGCACATAGGGGCCTCTTGCCTTCCTGAACCCCCTGAGTGCAGAGGCAGAATCAGGACTTTGTGGGGGAAACTTGGGGCCAAAGCCAGCCTTCTGAAACAGTAGTTGGGGGAGGAATAGCACCCCTTCCTGTCTCCTCTTCTGCAGTCCCCTTCCTTCCCAGAGGCTGGCATCTGCCCAGAAAATGTGCCTGCAAAGTGTCCTATCAAGTTGTTTTGGGGGACAGGTTGCAAGGGATTGATGGATCTGAAGGGACGGGGGATGAGTGGGATTAGGGTGCATGATGTGAAATCCACAAAGTATCAATCAAAAGGTTTTTAAAAAAAACTAAAAGGAAAAAGCACATCCTCCCCTTAGTACTGACTGATATCATGGCGGGATTAGTTGAGGGCCAGCGTGGGAACAAGTGGAGTTTGCAAATGTGAGCTCTTGGGGTAGAGAGTGAGGAACCAGAGCCATGTGAGGCTGGGAGAGAGGGAAGCACACAGGGCAGCCACACAGCAGCAGGAGCAGTGCTGAAATGACCAGTCACATAGACTCAGTCCCCAACCTGCCTACACCAAAAATGAGGCAAACCAAACCACACCAGGAGCCTTTCAACACTCCAGCTTCTGTCCATCCCTTCATCCATCAAGTACTGAGTGGTTCCCATGTTCCACCCAGTACTCATACTGGGGCATCTGAAAATACTTGACTGTGAGCAATTAAGACCCAAGAACAAGAATTTGTCTATGGGCTATGTCATATACTGAGGGGGAAAGTTCTAGACCCTTCTCTGCCCAGTGACTTGCTGGCGACACTGGGAATGTAAGAAAATCAGTCATGCCTTCCCTGCCTGCTAACAGGTTGTCAAAATCAAAGAGGACACGGGAAACGAAAGTGCCGGGGAAGCACAGAGCAGGGACAAGACCTTTCTTGTTTCTGTCACCCCTCACCTTCTACGTTTAACCTGGAGCTGTGGCCACAGGCACTGTCCTTCTGCAGAGCTGACAACCAGTCATAAACATTTGCTGAGCTTCAGATATGTGCTGGTCACAGTAATGGCTGTGAGTCACTAGGATAAAGACACAGTATCGGTCCTTAAGCAAATGCATGTGACCCTGAATGGCACGGTCATCAAGAGAAAGACCAGAGTGCTATTAGGCACAGAGGTTCACCAAGATGGTCTAGGGTAGCTTCCCAGCAGAGGTGTCTCTAAGAGTCCATGGTGACTGAATTATCTGTCCTCACAATTAGTCATGCATTTGTGTTGTCAGAGGGATGCTGGTCCACAGGGCCGGCCCCCAACTTAGCCGTTTCTCTGCTGCTGACACCGGCTCTTCTTTTCCCTCATCCCCCACTGTCCAGGTTACTCAAGGAGCAAGAGGACACAGTAAGGAAGGACACCATCCAGGTTGGCCCCCCTGCCAAGAAGAAATCCTGTTGTGGCTGACAGTAGCCCCCCATCCCGAGCCAGCCTGCCCATGCCCATGGTCACCTTCAGCCAGCAGCCCTTCAAAGCCCGAGGTCACGTAGCTGCTTGAAACAGCACTTGGGCTCCTATACAGCAACACCTGGCAAGGCCCACTCTGCCTTGCCCTTGTTGATGACTCGCCTCCCCTAATGGAAGGAAACACCTGCAGCCAGGAAGACTGCTTTTTCTGTATTTTGGAATCTTTTCCTTCTTCTCTTCTACACCCCAATACCCACTCCTTCCCCTCCCTCCTCCAAAGTGGTTTTCTGAAAGAAAGGAGCAGATGGGCTTTTCCAGAAAAGTCACCACGTGCCTTCTCCACCTCCCTTCTCCTCTCTCCATGCCCTCAGGAGTCTCTGCACTGTAGTTGCCATGGCAACTGCAGGGGTAACTTGCTGTTTCTTGAAGGCCAAAGATGTGCCATTTGGGTGATTCTGGGGTGGCCTGTCTTGCTTTGTCCCCTGCTCTCCAGAAACCAAAGAGCTGCTCTTGGCACACGGGTGATGGACCTTGAGATACTCGAGTATCTGCCCCAGCTCCCAGGGTTCTCTGCTTCTCCCTGAGTTCCTGAATACGAGCTTCACAAGCCTGTCCCAGCTAACGCTGCTGTCACTGGATCTGTGCCTGTGGGTCTCTGACATGTGTTTCCTAATGACCCTGCAACTCTGGCTCCGGGGTGAACAGTGGATGACAGCTCCATGCCTGGAGTTACACAGCACACATACTTTCTACTTAACTTTGAAAAAGAAAACCGAAAGGGGAAGCCATCTATGACTAAAGACAGTGGCCATTTCTGAAGGCTCTGCGTAAGTTTTATGTTGTACATAAAAAGCATTTTCTGAGGGTTTCTCCAAATACCTCTTTGGAAGAAAATCACATCTGATTATCGACAGGGTAGATTGCCAGGTAGGTGTGTGGAGGGGAATGACATCCAACACTAGGTCTGTAATTATTGGCTTCATTTATTTCATTTTCTTTGATTCCAGGAGATCATACTGATTTTTATTTTTTTTCCAGCTTGAGACATTTTATTACACATTTTCAGATGCTGATTTCTAGGTTTAAGGATAAAATGCATTTAAAAAACACATATATATGGGATACATTTCCTTTGTGTGAAGAAATACAAATGAGGCGTGAATTAATTTTTAAAATGTAGCTGTTACAGTGACATTTTGCGGATGCTTGAGAAGTGAGCTGCCTCTCGCCACTGATGTCAGCAGAGGGCACTAGGCTTCAGGGAATGACCTGAACCTTGTAAGGGTCCATTCCCTGCTTCTGGTCAGCACTAAATGTCTGGGTGCTAGAAAATACATCCTTGTCCTAGATGGAAGGTAGGAGAGAAAGATCACAAATCACTTTTCACAAGTGATTGACATTTGTCTGACACTGTCTTCTCTTCTTCAGTAGAAGAGCCAGGCACCAGCCCAAGGGAAGGTGGGTGACCCACATCCAACAAATGAGGTTCACTAAGAGGATAGAATATTAAGGACAAACTCCACATAGCTAAATAAGCAAGGAGAGACAACAAGCCAGAGTTCCTAGGCATGTTGTACAGTCTCTTTCCCAGACTCCTCAAAGAACAAGAACCCCACAGTCATCGGGCACATGCCTAACTGCTTTCGGAAGGCTTTTCTCCTTTTCTGATGTAACGTTTGCGGGGACCAGAGAGCCAGTGGAGGATGCTTAACAGAACCCGTAACCAAGTGCCTTAAGAAAGTCTGTGATCGCCACAGGCTGGCTTCCACCCTAGACCCCTACCTCCATCAGTTAAAGGTGGGGTGGCTTGTTTGATGGTTGGCAGCTCTCTGCTTGGATACGTAGGATGATGTGTGATGACACTGATGATATAGTCATTTTCCTTCACAGGCTGGTCCCAGACTTGAGGCTCAAATCTTTCCCTAGGGGAAGGGCAATGGTAGTAGTTATGTTTGTGGTTTGGAGCATACAGAAGAGGCATGGGAGTCATTCAGAAGTGGTACTCACGCTGTGTGTGTGTGTGTGTGTGTGTGTGTGTGTGTGTGTGTGTGTGTGTGTGTGT